GGGTGAAGCCGTGGTGTGTGGAGGCGACCAGGCCAGGCTGGTCACTGCTGTTTCTGTGTGTGCTTACTCGTGTGCGGCCACTGTGACCAGGGGTGTTGCTGTGGCAGGACAAGCGGACTCAGCTGGCCTGTTTCTTCCACTTTGTAGAGCAGATAGGAACCAAAAAAGTGAAAGGTGAGCAGCCAAGGGCTTGGTGGGGTCCCCACGTGGCCACCCCAGAGTTGTCCTGGTCCAGGCCTCAGAGGAGCTCTGGTAGCAAGGACACAAGGGGTTCCACCCCAACCCTTGGGGAGCTTATGGTCCCGCTTGGTTTCTCGGGGAGGGGGGGCAGAGGGGAGCTTCAGAGAGCTAGGAAACTGGTCCAGCTCTCAGCCACCAGAGAACAGTTGTCCAGTGCAGGGTCACTGGCTCAGGGACAGTCCAGGAGTGGCCCCAAGGAACAGGCAGGTATGCAAGATGGGGATGGCCAAGAGCAGAGGAAGGCGAGGGGCCTGGGTGGCTCTGGGTAGCAGTGTGACTCTGGGGGACGAGAGGTGGGTATAGGTTAAAAGAGGGGCTCCTGGTAAGGGAGCATTGAGAACCAAGATGTGTGGCTGGGACTTCCCGTGTGACATGTTCACTGTGTTGGCGCTTTACAATGGGGACTCAGTTAAGCCTCGGGTGATGATGAGGGAGGTAGAATTATCCCCATCCTATGAAGGAGAGGAGAGGAGACAGCGCGTCCCCAGGTCACGCAACTAGGATGTCACGAAGCTGGGATTTGAATTGCAGCTCAGGTTCTTCTCGGTACCATGCTGACAGGAAGGGTGTGTGTGGGCCCAGCAGGCCCAGTAGAATCTCTGGTGTAAGTGAGGAGGCCCCAAGCTTATGGAGTGGGCAGAGGGGAAGGTGGGAAAAGGTGCATCTGATGAAGTCAGGCCAGAGGGAGCTGCAGGTGTGAAAATGAGGTCTGCGGGAAGGAGGCTGGGGCAGTCTGGAAGGGTGGGATTGAGGGAAGGGACTGCAGACAGGTGACCTGGGGGTCTTAGATGGTCCCTGTAGGACTGGGCAGTGACCCCTGTGGAGGAGAGAGGTGCAGATAACACCAGGCAAGATGGACCTTGGACAGTAACTGACACATTAGAAACGGGTGGCTTTGGGGGATAGGAGTCCCCAAACAGGATGTTGCTCCAGGAGCTTGGTGTGGGCAGCAGTTCAGGTTAGTGGCTGATTGGATGTCGAGGTCTGTGAGGGCGTGTACTGGAGACCTGTGTTCTTGTGCCTTGTCATCTGGGGGGCTTCACACCTGCTCAAGACTCCCTCACCCCAGGTCCCCGGTTTTGCTCACAGGTGACTCTTCGACTGGACACCCACCCTGCCATGATCACCGTGCTGGAGATGGGGGCGGCCCGGCACTTCCTGCGCATGCAGCAGCTGGCCAAGACCCAGGAGGAGCGAGCTCAGCTCCTCCAGCCCACCCTGGAGATCAACCCCAGGTAAGCCTGCCGCCCTCGGCCCATGTCTCACCTGCCAGGTGATCCTTTACATTAGGTTATGGAGGAACAAAATGAATCACATTAAATGTATGTATTAATTTAGGGTTTCACCTTTAATTACGATCTACTTATCTAAGAACCAACATATGCATCTTCATATATTATATTCTTTTCCTTTAGTAGTAGTTCATTTATAATAATGTTAGTACTTGCTGCATTTTCTAATATCAAAACTCTTGGGTTTTCTGGGTATATAATTATTATCTGTGAATGATCATTTATAGCTCCTTTCTAATCTTTATGTGCCTTATTTTTTTATATTGGACTGTCCTAATACAGTTTTTTGACTGTTCTGATAAGTCTTAACAGCTCAGAAGTTAGAGGCCCTGGTGCTGGATGCAGGCTCTGAGCTAACATCTGGGGGTTTCTGTTGCAGGCACACACTGATCAAAAAGCTCAGTCAGCTGCGAGAGAGTGAACCGGACCTGGCTCAGCTGCTGATCGATCAGGTGAGTCTCCTGGAGACAGGCTGCGAGCAAGAGAACAGAGGTGCCGAGCTGCCTGTTCTGCGAGCCTGTCTTCCTTTGAGGTGGGAGAGCTCAGTTTCCTCTAAAGCCCTGTTTTAAGAAGGAACAGCTCTCTTCTACTAAAATGTCCCTGAGTTGAAACTAGGACGGGGCCTCCCTCCCATTGACGAAGTGACCGTTCTGCCTTTCAGATCTATGAGAATGCCATGATCGCAGCAGGGCTGGTCGATGACCCCCGAGCAATGGTGGGCCGCCTGAACAACCTGCTCGTCAAGGCCCTGGAGCGACACTGACTGCAAGGGGCTGGGCCATGGTCCAGGGGGACGTGACCATGGAACCCTGTGCCTCTGCTGTGGGAAGGAAGGAATGATTGGATGCCACCAATGAGAATACCCCCTTTTGAGCTTTATTTAAATTAAAAGGTATTTCTTAATCTAAATTAAAAGGTATTTCTTAATCTAAATGTTAAACTTTTTGTGCAGATTGACAAGGTAGGTTACTCTGGTGGCACACCCCATGCTTGTAACAGAAGCAGGTATAGCAAGAAAAAGCCTACCTTCCACCCTCCTTCTGCAAGCTGTTTTTGGGGGGGCAGGGTACTGGTTTCTTAAACTCCATTCCCAGAACCTGAAGATGACAACAGGAGCAGCCACAGGCTAGCGGTCACCAACCAGGGCCCTGGGAGCTGCTCTCGTCAGGCACTCTTCAGCGTCACCTCCACCGGGTAATGGTCACTGATGGCTCGGGCCTGTGGAGAGAGAGAAACATGCAGTGAGCACAGGGACACGCCGAGGGCCAGGTCCCTGGTCCAGCTCTGGAACTCAGGCACTGCGCTGTCACATTTGCCTGGGAACAGGCTGCCGTGGACAGTGGCTCTTGCAAGTCAACGAATAAAGCAGTGAAATCCCGTAAATCCCGTGGGTCCAAATCTCCCTCCACCCCTGCATCCCAGTCCCCTTAGCCTGTAAAGGACAGTCACGTACAATCTGGGTACTCAGTCCGTATGCAGCTTGGAAGTCAAAGGGACCAGCTGAGTCGGGAACGATGGCCTGTTGGAGCAGAGTCCCAGCAACCACGATCCTACAGCACCAGACATGAGACGGTCCCCTTTAGTCCAGTCTGGCTCTGTGCACCCTAAACCTCAGAGCCCAGCGTGTCCCCCAGCTTCTGTCTGGCCTTTGGGTGTCACTGCCCAGGGAACTGGCCCCCCTTTGGGGCCGAGACTGGCCAGACTCAGGTCTGGGTGACCTCTATACCGAGACTATTCAGAGGAACACCAGCACCCTGTTGTCCCTAAATGTGTTTCCCCATTTCCCGAGTGGACGCAGGCTCAGGAGGGTGAGTGTATCCCAAAAGTCTTGGTAGCCATTTCTGAAGCTGGTCGTGGAGGTGCCCCTGGGCCTGCAGACCCTGATTACCTGTCATAGGGACAGTGTGTGGATGTCACTGTGGTGTCAGCGGTGTCAGGAATCAGCCACTGGAAGGCAGGGCTCGTGCGCAGGCGGATGGATGACCAGTGCGAAGAGGACACATAGCTGCAGCCGGCATTGAAATCGCCCATCAACATGATGTCCTACCGGGAGACAGTTCGTTGGCCCAGCGACAGAACAGGGGCCTCTGGAACCCAATCCACAATGTTGGGGGTGTGGGTGGCTCACCTCCAGGTCCCACTTTTGCCGGACATCCACGTAGACATCATAGAGAGAGTTGATCTCAGCCACTGCATCCAAAGGGGCCGCGTGCAGGGGGACAATGGCAAACTCCTTAACCTCTACAGAGAAGATGGTTGTGCTCAGCAAGGAGGTGGGGGCAGGCCTGGGTTGAGGGTGTGTCAGGAGAAGACACGAGACAGTCCCCAGGGAGTGGATGTCTTCCTGAGTAACTTCAACGGAAGTCCAAAGTACTCGTGGTGGGGGCAGCGTGTGTTGTCTTCCCCATGCCCCCCAAAGGGATGGTGAAGGCCCCCTCGGCCCAGCACTCACCGGTAAACAGGGAGGAGAACTTGATAATGGCTGGCTCTCGGCTGAATGTGTCGTTCCCGCAGGGCTCGCAGCCGTCATCATACTGGTAGCTGTCCAGCACGGACACCTGGTCAGGTCTGCAGGAGACCAGAAGGTGGTTAACCTGGGGCTGGGCGCTGCCTCGTCACTAAACCCGCCTGCTGCTGTGGGCAGGGGGCCCGGTCTCAGACATCACACAGACCCATGTCCTCCTGCCTCTGCCCGGGAAGGGAGGCCTTGGAGTGCAGCAGGCACCTGGGAGGAAGGGAGGCCCCACTCCTACCCCTTTGTATGTCTTCCATTTCTCGCCCCCTAGGACTGCTGCCCCTACACCTGGAGGAGAGGCTCATGGGCCCTCTAGGTGCCGCCCCCTGAACACACACAAACACACCCACCCCTTGGCGCCCCGGCTTTACCTGAACAGGAAGAGGTAGCGCTCCTTGTAGCTGCTGCGGCCCAGTGGCTCGCTGACGACGTAATGATAGGCGTTGGGGTCATCCCTGGATTGAGGAAACAAATGTCCCAGTCCGGGGACCTGCAGGGAACGTCCTGCTGCCTACAGCAAGGCTCCTGCCCACTCAGGGTCCCTGGGGCCTAGCTGAAGAGGCACAGTGCCCTGAAGGAATGAGCGCCATCCCCACAAGCCTCCCCAAGCCCCTGCCACTGTAACCCACTGATTGAGTCTGTCCAGCAGCTTCCCCACGGCCGTCAGGTGGCTGTCTCGGACCTCCTGCACCAGGACAATGTCATAGCGATTCAGGATCTAGGGAAGGGGCCACAGAGGTGCTGAGCAGGGGGTGGGTAGAGACGGGTACCCGGACCCTGCCTGCTCCAGGGCCCTGCAAGAGCCAAGCTGTTGTTCCCCAGGGCGCTGGAACATGCTGTCAGCCACGGCAGTGACAAAGGCCCTGTCCCGCTGAGTTATCTGGGTGGCTGAGACCAGAGGCCTGGGAATCTGATCGCCCTCAGGACTTACCGCTGACCCAGTGTTCCCAGGGTCTATTAGACCATCCCCTCCCTGGGGACCTTGGGGACAGGCTGGCCTGAACCTACCTGCACAATGTAATCAGAGAGGGTGGCATTGGACATCTTGGTCTCCCCGAAAGTCTGGATGTTGAACGCTGCTATTCTCAGGGCCAGGGCCACATGCAGCACACCAGCCAGGGCAAGCAGCACCCCCATCAGCCTGGCACCCTTCATTCTGGAGGAGCGACATTTGCATGTGAGACTGGGGTGGCTGAGACAGTGCTCCGTCTTCTGAGTCCAGCCAGGTGGAGCTGGTGGAGCCCAGGGCTGAGTTAACTGTCTGAGCTGTGCTGAGCAGCCGGGGCGAGCCTCAGCTCTCAGCAGCATCCAGAGAGCCAGACACCAGCACCAAAGAAAGGACCCCGGGTCTTCTCACCCCTCCACCCACCAGAAGACAAGCCCCTGTGAGGGTTGCCTCAGGAGGCCCCTGGCACTCTGGTGGTGGGACCATGGCCCACTGCCCTCCCTGTTCCAGGCACCCACCCAGCAAGGACTGGCCAGGCTCCTCCAGCTTGGCCACAGTCACCCAGAGGGACCTCGCTGAGCCTCCAAACTTGGTGCTCAGCCCCCAACGGACCACTGGTCACAGCTCTTGGGGCACCAGACACTCACCTGAAACGTGACTTCTGGAAGGATAATGGGAATTCTGCTAAGAACCAGGAGTTGATATTCTTTGATATCAGTTTTCTTTCTTTGCTGCTTTAAGAAAAGAAAAAATAAATTACAAAGGGAATTCCATTAAGAAACATGGCTGAGAGGCCCATGCAGAGCTGCTGCCGCTCTGAACCCCGGCACAGGGAATGCTCGTCCCGCTTAGGGTTTTAAAGGTTTAAGCGGCTGTGACCTTTCCCCGGGCATCACCCGGAGGTCACAGAACAATGGCGCTGCCTGTGTGGCTTTCCCACACAGGTGAGTGGTTGGCATATGTTTATTTCAACAGGTTCTGGCTGCTATAAAAAGAGCACCTGATAATATTTGCACTTGGTTTTAAAAAATCTAATAATAGGGTCACGGGCTCCTGTGTCCTTCACAAATGCTGTTCTCCCAGGGATGGGGAGCAGGTGTGTGCTGGACGGCAGGGCCCTGGCTACACTCCCGTCTGCAGGACTTGAGATGACCTTGGAGGCAGTAGATAATGGTGGCTGCTCTGTGGCCCAGGACCACACCAGGTCTCTCACTAGCCCCAACCCCTGCTGCTTAATCCATCAGCTGGGGTAGGGGGTGGGGGTACAGGCAACTTGGCTAGAAGCTGGGGCTCTCTACGGTGTGCGTGTGTGATGCAGCATTGGGGGCTGCGGGGCTTGGGTGCCAGGAATGGGTGGGGACTGGAGAACCCACCTTGGTTACCAGCAGGGCAGTAGGCAGCCTTCCTGAGGCAAATGAGAGCCTGTGCGTTCCAGGCACAGGTGACCTGAGTGACCGAGTCACAAGGATACTGTCAGGCAGCAGCTGAGGGTCCATGACAGGTCCTGGGTCCAGTCGTTTTTGGGGGGGAATCCTTGACTTTCCCATTAGTGTTCACTTCCTGTGGCTGCTGTAAATAAGTCACCAAAAACTTGGTGGCTTGAACGACAGAAATTTATTCTCTAGCAGTTTTAGAGGGCAGAATCCAAAATCCATTTCACTGAGCTGAAATCAAGGTGTTATGGAGTCGCACTCCCTCTGGGGGCTCCAGGGAAGGGCCCTTCCTGCCGCTTCATCTTCTGGGGACTCCTGTGTTCTTGGCTTGTGGCCACATTGCTCCAATCTCTGCCTCCACCTCCATGTGGCCTTCTCTGTGTGTCAGTTCTCCCTCTGGCCCCTCTCATAAAGATACAGGTGACTGAATTTAAAGTCCTCCCCGGTAATCCAGGACCATTTCCCCATGTCAAGATCCTTAAATCACATCGGCAAATCCTTTTTTGCCATGTAAGTTAACATTCACAGGTTCCAGGAATTAGGACATGGTATCTTTTGAGGAGCCATCATTCAGCCCACCCTGCCTCCAAAGGGGCTCCCCATGTGGGAAGGGCTGGTTCCCTCCCTGGGATGGAAGAGTCTTGCGGTGTGAAGGTGGGTGCAGGGATGCCAGGGCCTGGAGGTCTGGGAGCACGGGGTAGCTTGAGGGTAGCAATCAGTAGGGACCAAGGTCAAAGTCACGAACATGCCACAGATCAGGCCAGCTGGTCATGAAGCAGGAGGACGCAGAGGGGATTAAAAACAGTTTATTAGGTAAACCAACTTCACAAGACCAGAACCCCCTGAAGTAATGAAAACAAGCTGATGGATGGCTGTGGCTGTCAGCAAGAATACTAACCAGCTCATGTGTCCCTTGATACGGCCTCTGTAAGATGGAATCAGGTGGCCTAGTCCTCAAGCTGCCAGGAGCCCCATCACAGCCTTTTGCAAAGGTTTCATTGCTGATTCATTTTCAGTCTCTGAGGCTGGGACAGCTTCAAGCATGTCAAAATCCAGACCCCAACTACCACGCAAGACCTTCAGCCTAGATCCCTTTCTTCCATGGGGTTTTTCCCTGGACGCACTTGCCAGACCTTTCAAGAGGAGCACGTGAGCAAATCTAGAGGGAGGCCCCTGGTCCAGCTGCTGGCCATACACGGACACCGACCACAGGTGGGTGGCACAGCCATGGCGCTCACTGCAGATGCCTAGCCCCTCCAGTTCTCAGCACATGGGACGCAGGCGCCTGTCAGCATGCCTGCCCGCATGCCTGCCCTCTCAACCAAACACTGACCCTTGTGCTCTGGGGAGCTCCCTGCCACGGTCCCTGCCCTCCCTAACCCTCCAGAAGAAAGGTCCCGACCGCAGCCCCAGTGGGTACAAAGTGCCGAGCTCTGCTGCCGTGTTGGCTGCCCTCATTTGGGCTCACGAGAGGCAGCACAGCCTGGGGAAGAGCCTGGCCCAAGAGTCAGGGATTTGGGGCCTGGCTCAGGCTCATCCACTGCGCCTTCCATCACTCTGAGCCTCACTACCTTCATCTATTATAAGGGGATAAAACTATTGCTGCTTTCCCCTTAGGTTTGTCTTAAGGATCAATGGATATAACATTCCACAGAACAATCATTTCACATGTCCTTAAAACTAAGAACAGTAGTCCTCTCAGATGGTGTATTTCCATCCCTCTTACCTGTCCCTCATGAACCTCTTTCCATTTGCACCCGCCAGCTGTTGCTATGTAACAGGCAGCCCCCTACCTCTCCCAGATGTATTGTGTACAACAGTATGCAATTTTTCTCTTGCTCCCAGGCCCACAAGTCAGCTGGGAAGGCTCTGCTCCCTGGGCCTCCTCTGGGGCCAGGTAGAGGGGCTGCAGCTACCTCTTCTAACGTGATGGAAGGTAAACGTCCACGGAGGTAAACAGAAACAGACGATGCCTCCAGAGACTTGGGAGTTTGCATGATGCCATTTCTATCCACATTCTCTCAGTCTTAGCAAGTGACAGCCAAGACCAACACCAATAGTGGGGAGTTGGGTACACGCCTCCTCTGCTGGGTCACACACCAGAGAGGAGACGCAGAAGGGGTGCAAGGGAAGGGAGGGGAAGGACGCCTGGCACTTCTGGCATCTTTCAGTCAGTTCAGCGGGAAAATGGGTGCTGACAGCAGACCACTTCCTCTGATCATGTTGAGCTATTTTTACATTAACCCTCAGAGTCTGCCACCCTCTTTGGTTCAACAAAACCTGCTCCAGATACAGAAAGGGGAAGCGGGCACATCACAACAAAGTCAGAGCCAGTCTTGAGCTCTGATGTGGCTGAAATCAAAGGATAAAGAAAAAGTCCTCTTAGCACTGAGGCTGTGAACAAAAGGCTTCAAAGGAAACCTGATGTGTACAGGCTGTTGAGCTTTATCTGATAGTGCGCAGTCATCAGACCTCATGGCCTGTCTCTAAGAGCTGTGGGGGGCGGGGTGTTGTGTAGCCTGGGGGAGAGGGCGTCCATAGATCCAGAGGGAAAGGGAAAGGCACAGAGCTCTGGTTCCCAAACTGTACACCGAGGCACCCTTGGCCCCACAATAAGCTCTGGCACCGTAGGATACTTTTTACTTTTGAGGGGAACAGAGATTCTCAACATTTCTGGACACGTCACTGTTTCAGCATTATATCTTGCTACATTTCTTTCTGTGATTTCATGTCTGCAAAGCTAGATTTCTAGCAGTTACTGAAAAAGCAATTACTACTATGTGAAATCAATGTGGAATAGGCAACAAGGGTGGCCATGTCCAATCTGATTCCAAGATTTAAGAAATACGATAGGCACACATTCCATTTGTAATTGTGGTTACTTAAATATGAAATGAAAATGTTTTTTCTTTTAATTTATATGTATTTTCCAAATGTCTACTGTAAGTTCCTAGGACATAAATACTACGTTGTTTGGGCTTATCTAATAAATGGAATTGTTAGGTATTTCTTTTGGTCTAGGGGTCCCTTAAAATAATTACTGAGCCTTAAGAAGGGGTGCTGCGAACTGAGAATGTTTGGGAGCCTCTGGATGTAACATACATAAGGGGTTTCTAGATTATATATCTTCTATACTGATAAACCTTTTATACCTTATTTTCTGGACTTCATCATCTACAACATACTGAATATCTAGTCATAAAGAAATTTTCAAGGTACAAACTGCTAATGTGATGAATTACAGTAAACATCTCAATTGTTTTTAAATTCATGAGTTCATACTGATGTAAAAAATTCATTAGTCACCTTTGGGAGATGCAAGGGAGCCAACTTGTTATTCTGCAAACTGGCAAACAAAGTCAAAGAATTAAGAACCTACCGTGCTTTTCCTGTGTAAATGATACCAGTACCACTGAGCAGAAATTTCTCTTCATGTGTGAGAATTCCAGCTAAGCAAAGAAGGGCTGCTAGAATTTTGAGACTGCAATACGCAACCCCTAACCTAGGCACTGATCATCAATGGCTACTAACTCACAAAAAAACACCAGCCTCCAAGTCAGAGAACACAAAAGCCCTAAGGAAAAACTTGCCAAGACCACCTTGACTCTGATCAAACCTCTATCTAAATACCAACTCAAAGCACAATGAAGGACAGAGGCTTATGGGTCACCAGCATTGTAGGGACACAGCACAATCTAGACTGTGGGAAACTGTAGGTAAAGGGTGGTCTCACCAATAAATGTCAAGAAAAAAGAGAGGAGGAACTTACAGATTAAAATGAAACTTGAGCTATATCACTGAATGCAGTATGCGATCCTCATCAGGATCCTATGAAACAATAAATTCTTTAACCATTTAAGCAAACCTTTGCTTAACAAACAAACCATTTAAGAGGCAATCAGGAAAATTAGAACACTGGTAACTAATGAAATGATTAGATTTTTAGGTCTGATAATGCCATTATGGTTATGCTTTGAATGATCCTTAGATTTCATCATCACACTGAAGTATTCAAGGACGAAATATGACGTCTCGGATTTGCTTCACAATGTTGGCCCGAAGCTGGATGGTGGGTACACGAGGCTCATTATACTAGTCTCTGCTTTGGAATATGCTGAAATTTTCCATGATTAATTTTTTTTAATTCTATAAATCAAAATTTTTGCAAGCCACACAACTGAATACAATGCAGCATCCAAAAATGAGGTAATAAAAGTTAATATTAAAAATGAAATCACTCAAAATATTCTAAATGCCTAGGTTTGCATGTTAGAAAGAGCCTCTGGTCACCATGAGGAGCAGAAGGGATGACAAGATAGGGAGCAAGCTGTGGCCCTACGACAGGAATCGGTGGCAAACTGGATATGGAGGGTAAAAAGGGGGATTCAAATTGTCATGAAGTGTGGGTTGATGGACACTGATCAGCTGTCAAGTCCCGAGGGTCAGTGGTTTCCCACCTGCTCAGGAAACACGCCTGAATCTCCTGAGGTGGGGCCTCATCCCTGATTCTAGCTGCGGCCGGGATGTCTCCACTAGATTCCAAAGGGCTTCATGAACTTGCCTGGGCGAAACCAGACTAGACTGAGTCCCCGGTGCACCCGCTCTGCCTCCATCCAGATGCTCATACCCAGCACTCATCTGGGTCCCTGTTTTCCCTCAGCCCTGCGCCAAATGCACCGAGTCTGCACTACCCCTGGTTCTGCAGCCGCCACACTGGTCTGCCCCTGAACACACACACAGCCTCCCAGTGGTCACCCAGCACGTACTGCAAACGTGTAATCAGATCACATTATTGCCCTGCTTAAAATCTGTCACCGGTTTCTCATTGTCCTTAAGATGAAAGCCAGTGCCCGGCAAGACTTATGCGCTCAGGGACTCTGGTCATTCCCGTTTCAGCTCAAATGTCACCTCCTCAGGGAGGCTGTTCTCTCCCCACCCACGTGTCATTTTTCATGACCCTTATCACTTCCTTTGTCTCAGTGTGTTTGCTCTTACTTGTTTATGCTCATTTTAAAGCCCACCTCTGGACTAGAACACAGCCCCACGGGGTCAGAGACCTTGCCATCTTGTCCATGACACTGCCTCACGCCCAAAAACAGCTCCACAGACCAAAGCTGAACGCAGCAGGGCTCCGCGCCTGCATCCTGCTCCCTGCCTCCCTGGGCGGCCCTCCTGGCTGCATGAGAATGTGCCTTCCTCATGGACCCTCCTGTCCTGAAGCACAGGCGACACTGCAGGGCATCCAAGTGGCCTCTGGGCACACAGCTTGAGCTAACAAGCTCCGAGGCAAGCCCACGGGCATGCCTCCCTGCAGCCAGGCTCCACCCCGGATTCCTCCTCTCCCCTCAGGAGGTGTTTGCCGACCCCATGGACAGCATTTTAGAGGGCAAAGGGGCTTTATTCCTTTCCTACAGATAAAGGGCTGATGTCTTTGCCATGACATTGCTTTAATCCATGTCAATCAACCTGTGTGGGTCAGCAGTTCTCTCTCAACTCAGCTCACTGGCCTTGGCCCATGACCAGCCACAGCTCCCCATCTCTTATGAATTTATTTCTGTTCATTATAAAGAAACCATTAACCCAGGATGGAAAATTCCTCAGAACAGACGTCTGAATTACTACAATCCCAAACAGCTTCACAGTCACGCTCAGCAGCAGCCCCCGCCCCTGCTTCCTCACCCCTGGCCGTGCCTGTGCCCATCATGTCGGTAGAGTGGGCGGCACTCGAGTTCCACAGCACACGTTCAGTTCTGCTGAACAACAGCGTATGCGCCCCCTCTATCATCACAGATGAGCCTCCTTTGGCTCCCCAATCCTCCTGCCCCTCAATGCTACTTTCTTGCAATCTGCAATCCGGAGAGACGCAAATGAAAAGACAACTGTTTAAAAAGGCATTTTCTCAGGTGTAAGTTGGACACGTTAGCATCCCTTTAGCTTGAGCCCATGAGACAAATACACTTGTGTTCCTGATGTACCCGAGGCCTGTGAAGATTTCATTAGTCACAGAACTCGACTATCTGGACTCCCAATGTGCTAGCAATGTTTCCAACAAGGTTGCAGTGGAAAACGTTCTCTAAATTCCCAAGCCCCCGAGTCTCTCCCAAGCACATAAACCTTCTTACCAGCACCTCCTTCCACCCAAGGCTGAGTGTCTACAAAGGGGCAAGCAGGGCCCTGAGGGTCTGGGACGAGGAAGCTCAGCGCACAGTGCCAGCTGGTCGCACTGGTGTTTGCAGGGCTGTGTGCTATCGATCTAGCTTCCAGTTCACGAATCTTCTCTTCAGCTGTCTCTAACCGCTGGTATAAATCCCCCTACTGAATTCTAAATTTCAATTACTGTACTTTTCTGTTTTAGAATTTTCATTCAATGTTTTATGAATTCCAATTCTCTGTGAAACTCTCCATCTTATCTTTTCTCTAATGTGTTAATCGGTTATTTTGTAGTCCATATCTGATGACTTCAGTATCTTAATTTCGGGTGGGGCTATCACCTTCTCCCCCCAGTCCAGTTTCTCAGTATGCCTAGTAACTCGACTAGTATCAGGCACTGTGTATGACAGAATGGCGGAGAGTCAGGATGGTGTCGCCCTCCAGGGTGGGCAGCAGACGGGCAGGTTGCCACAGGCCAGTTAGGGGCTCAGTTGAAGCTGAGCTCGTCTGCAGTCCTTGTAAGTCCAACTCACCTGTGACTTGCCCCCCCTCCCACAGTGTCCCCCCCTCCCCCCAAGAGCCTGGGTCATTTCTTAGGACCATTTCTTAACTGAGAGCCTAGAGTATTTCTTAGGGCCATTCTTCCTTGACAGGCCCTGAACTCTTCCCTAGCACCATGAAATTGCCAAAAATCTTGTTCTGCTTTTCAGCCACTTTCTGCTTCTCTTGCCTAAGCAGCTTCATCAGCAAATGCCTCAAGACAGAAACTGCTGCTGAAAGTCAACTTCATTTTTTTGGCCTCCTTCCTCTGAGGAGCCCTCAGGTCCTGATGCCTCAGTAGGCCCACATCCCCAGCTCGGTCTCCTCAGCCCTGCGAAATTGTGTGGCGCTACTCTGGCTTCTCTGCCTCTTAGCAGGCACCTGTGCCCAGCCCCAAGGGGAACAGCCAGGATAGGAAGTAGGGCTCACCTCCTCAAGTTCCCCTCTGAGTCATGGCTGCTGGAGTGACTGCAGATCTTCAGGCTGATATCTTCAGAATTATGGCCAGTTCCTTGAGTCCTCAGCAGGCATTGTCTACTGCAAGCTACTCAGAGCCAGAAGCGGTTTGTTTTCATTACCTGAAATGAGCCACCAAAACAGCGAGTTCGAAAGGACATGGCTTGATAACTAGGCAAGCTGGTCTAACTAGCATAGGCCACGTGGACATCTCTGAGCTACAAGGGTTGTGTGCAGAGGTATGCAGTCAGTGAGAAAGCCAGAAGGAACACAGGCCATTCCCCTCTGCCCCACCAAGAGTCTCCAGGACTGAAGACTTCTGTATGCTGATCTGCACTGTGTGGTATCTGTCCTCATCAGCCCAGTACAGTGCCAGGACATGGCAGTTCTACATTCTGTTGGGTTGTCAGAAAAGTCATGACGTATTTTCTCTGTTTTTCGTTGCAAAAATGCATCATGACTTTTCCGACAACCCAACAGAAGTTCAGCCTACAGCTTCTCAGAGAACACGAGCATCTGGCCTCAGTTCAGGTCTGTTACCTCGCTCCTAGAGGAGCCTGGGGCTTGCAGACTGCCAGTACGAGGGCTGCATCCTTTCTGCCCCTTGGCCAGATGGGCCATGCTGGTTTCTGTCAAGAGTGCAAGTAATTGGCGTGCTTCCTGCCCAGAACCGGCTACGGGGCTTATCTCAGACACTACCGTTTGTTTCACAATGCCATTTAAACCATGTTTCCCAAACGGGCTCCTGCCTCAGGCCTTGGGCACTGGTCCCTACCTGGGCATTCTGCCTCCAGATGGCCACATGCTTGTCCCTCCCTTCACTCAAGCTTCTGCCCAGATGTCATCCTACCACAGCATCCTAAAGTCGCTCGTTTTGTCCCACCACTCTATCTCCTTTATCCTGCTTATTTTTTTCTTACCACTGTAACATGGAGTGTTACAATCGGTCTCATCCCACTGGATGAAGCCTGTGAGAGCTGGAGCTCGTGCAGCAGCACCCACACAGAGCCTGACCCTTAGAGCGTGCTCAGCCAGTACTTGCTGAATGAAAGGGGTCTTCTTGACAGAACAGCAGCTTTAGATGCTCCCCACCCTCTTCGCTGTGCTGCTTGTTCCCATTTAAGTGTGAGATCTCACACGAGGGGGGCTGACTTGGCCCTGTTTGATGAATGAGTGAAGGGACAGGCTTCTGTCACTGGGCCAGGCTCCTCAGCCTCCACATCTCAAATCCTGGTGGGACAGAGGCAAGTGACCAAGGGTTACCAGGCAGCATCACAGTTACAGCTCCTAACGGCAGGGGAGGGAGGCTCCCTGTAGGCTCAGGGCTGGCCAGAAAGCAGGGCTCAGAACCACTTTGCCCTGTCATGGAGGTGCCAGGAGAAAGGCTGAGGGCTGCTGGACAGCAGAGCCCAGAGAGAAGCTGGCATGGGCTTATCTCCACGGAGAGGAGGGGGCTGCCCATGCTCGAGCCCGGGAGGACCTTCACGGGGCAAATGGCCCCAGGGCCGACGCCTGTGGATGGTGCTGCCCCACAGCTCTTACCACGAAGCTTCATGCCTGAGTCCCAGGCATCTTTACCAACTCTGCCTACTCCTTCCTGGAGGGGCCAGCTGGGGAGGGCTGGTCCCACTGTCTGCCCCACATCCCCTGGTCACCACATCCACTAGTCCCTACCATCTGCTCACCTTCCATGCTCTGAGCATCTCTGCCCCATCAGAGTGCAGGACACAGAGGTGATGTGGCCCTGCCAGCGGGGAGAACACTAGTCCCCAAGCATCCCTGGATGCTTCTCTCTGCGCCGCCATGGGATGTCATGGGCTGTAATGTTCCTACAGCTGAAATCTTCTTTTGGGGGTGGGGGCATGTGCAGTAAGAGCCTGTGGGGAGTTCAGGTGTGTGAGGACAAAGCCTCCCGCTGAACCATCCTCTCCCAGCGCCTCAGCCTTCCCCCTAACTGTCCCTGTCAGGCCTGCAGTCAGTGATGGATGGGGCGCTTGTTCTGCCCCAGCCCAGGGGGCTCTCCAGAGGGCCTGCCTGTGCTGGGCCCCGACTGTGGGCAGACACAGGGACCCTGTCTCCATTCTCCACCCAGAGGTCTGGGCACTGCCCCAGGGAGGGGCCTAAAGCACATAGGGTCCCAGGTGTGGGAATAAAAAGGCGGCCCCAGGAGACCAGGAAAGGCAGCTGCAGAGACTTCAGCCTCTTCGGGAATTACAGGCTCCGGCCTCTGGGAAGCAACAGGGGTTCTCACCTCACTTCTATACCAGTTTAGAAAAAACTCCACTTACCTTACAAGGCTGGCTTCTCAGACTCCCTCCTGGCAGCCCAGGTGGGAGCATAGCTGCCAGTAAGGGGTCAGTGCCCCTCCCCAGGCACAGAAGTGTAACAGGGCAGAACTGGCCACCACTAGCCACCTCACCCGAGCCATAGCTGTGGACAGGGCCTCAGGTAGGAGCAGAGACGGCCGGAGGCGGCCAGGATGAGTCCAGCCCAACGCCCTCCCACCTGGTCCTCTGACCAAGGCCAGAGTGGCCAGAGGTAGGTGACCTTGTTGGTCCGGCTCCATCTTCCGAGGACTGCTGGAGTCATGGTGAGCCATGGAGGCAGGGCGGGGCTCTGCCTGTGCCAGTTCATGAATCATCTGCTTCTCTCCTCACTTGGGCTCCTGTGAGGAGGCGCTGATCCTCGGAGGCACCTCAGCCTCCCAATGACGCAGCCACAGAAGCTGGTAAAACATGAGCTTGCTGGGGTGGAGGGGCAACACCAGGCTGCCACCATGTCACTGCCTCACAGCCAGCACCATCTTGCTGTTCCCATTCACACCGTGACTGGTTAATAAAAGAAGAAAAAAGGGAGGGTTAATAATGTCAGCTTAGCCAGAGGACAGCATCTGTCCTGAAACTTCGTCCAATTCCAGACAGGCTGTTCCATTTGTTTGTTCACATTTATGTACTCATTCTCGATAGAGTAAAAGGGATCCCTGAACAATGGGGAAACTAGAAAAGAGACGATGCAATGGTTTTCAGTGTCTGGACAACAGTGCAGGACAGTGATCCCCAAGAGAAGGGAACCCGAGAGCCTGAGCCCTCTGATGGTACCAGCTACTGCTGAGGTGCTTTCCAGACTGCACTGCAAGGAGGGGAAACTCAGACAGACACAACCGTCTCCCTGAAGTGGGACAGTTAGGAGGTCAGGGAAGCCCAGGCAGCTGGCATGTGTGGAGCAGTGTTGGGGGATGGGGCTACACAGGCAGCAGAGCTCCAGGATCTGCGGGGAGGTCCCCTCAAGGCTTCAGCTGAGGACAGGTTGTACCTGTGTGAGAGAAAGCGTCCCTGGGAAGGAGCAGACAGAAAATCCTCAGAGCTCATACAGGGAGGGAAGGGAATGCCTTGTGTTCCCACAAGCCACACGGAAAGACCTCCTAATTCACAGGGTGTTGGGTAGAATCCTCACAAGGGCATCACCCTTAGTAATGAGGCAAATTAGCAGTAGACCAAAGGCAGCTCTGGATGCACCCTAACAAATCTCAGAAGCAAGCCTATAAGGATGACTGATGCTAAGGAACTTAACTATGTGGCAGGCCAAGATTAACACTATACAAGAAATACGAGGTCTGACAATGAAGTTCCCGAACTTGTTGCAAATGATGTTGCTAACCCTTTTTGATATCAGAGGGGTTATTCATTATGAATTTGTACCAACTGGACAAACAGTGAACAAAGTTTACTATTTGGAAGTGCTGAAAAGGCTGCGGGAAAAAGCTAGACGACCTGAACTTTTCGCCAACAATTCATGGCTCTTCCTTCACAACAATGCACCAGCTCACACGGCACTGTCTGTGAAGGAGCTTTTAACCAGTGCACAAATAACTGTACTGGAACACCCTCCCTACTCACCTGATCTGGCCCCCCAATGACTTCTTTCTTTACCCGAGATAAAGGAAATATTGAAAGAAAACATTTTGATGACACTCAGGACATCAAGGGTAATACGACAACAGCTCTGATCGCCATTCCAGAAAAAGAGTTCCAAAATTGCTTTGGACTAGGAGCTGGCATCGGTGCATAGCTTCCCAAGGGATACTTTGAGGGTGACTGTAGTGATCTTCAGCAATGAGGTATGTAGCACTTTTTCTAGGATGAGTTCGCGAACTTAATTGTCCTATCGCGTATTACAAAACCCACCAACCAACAATACAAATTCACAATGTCCGGTATCCCATAAGAAAATGGCTAGAAGACAGAAAACCACATGGTATTTTAAACAAGGGAAGTTTAGTCTAAAGAATTATTATACTATTTATATGGAATTACCTAAAAGGAAACAAAAGAGAACTCTACAGAACACCATAGGGTGAAGGGAGGTACCCAAGAGAAGGATTCTGACCTGGGAGATGGGTGGTCACAGTCCACTGGATGCGAAGATCACAGGGCTACCCAGGCCAAGGCTGACGTCTGACAACCTCCTGCGAGGGTGCCAACAAAATTAGCTGGGAAGCCACCAGGGTGGAGGTGCTGAGGAACTCACCAAAAAGCTGCCAGGAGGCCAGCTGGGATTCCCATGGGACTTTCCTGGCAGTGTCCGCCCCCTTCCAAATATATCAAGAACCTCACTGCAGGCATCTGTGGGAGTGCTGCTGAATTTGCAGCTAGGAAGCTGCCTGAGAAGCTGCCACAGTAACTCGCTGTGTGTGAGAGCCCCTATATGTCCCACATGGCAGCCCATATCACAGAACAGGAATAAGCAAAGCACACAGAACCAGGAAAAAAAGGCCCGTTCTCCTCCAAAACCCTCCACTGACAAAGATTAGCACCAGGTTAGTTGGCAATGGAGAATGTTCCAGTATTACAAGCAGGCAATAAAGGGTGGATTGATAACTACCATATCAGGCATGCAAAAAAGAAAATATGACCTATGACTGTAGGAAAAATCGATCAATAGAAACCGACCTAAAAATGAGAGATAAAGGAACAGGTAGACAAGGAAAATAGAACAGATATTATAAACATGCTTAATATACTCAGGAAAGTAGACGGAAACATAAACTTGATGAGCAGATAAATAGAAGCTGTAAAAAGGCCCAAATAGAACTTCTGGAGAAAATAAAAACAATATCTGAAATAAAAACATGCACAGTATGGGATTAATATCAGATAAATGTTGAAAAAGAAAAGATCGGAGTGCAAAGACATAGCAAATGAAACTACTCAAAGAAAGCACAGAGAAAAAAGCATCAGATGCTACCAAGCAATCCAATGTGCATGGAACTGGAGTCCCAGAACAAGAAAAGTGAGGAGGAAACAGAAACATCTGAAAAAATAATAAGCAAAATCTCCCAAATATGATGAAAACTATACATTCACAGACCCAAGAGGCTCAATAAAGCCCAAGCAGAATAAACCTCAGGAAAACAACACCAAGGCACCTCATCATAATCAAGCTGTTGAAAACCAGTTAAAGAAAAAAATCTTAAAACAGCCAGGCTTTAAAAAGCATATTATGTACAGATAAATAAAAATAAGAATGGTAAGAGATGTCTGCTTTAAGCCAGAGGACAATGGAATGACATCTTTAAAGTACTGAAATTAATAAAATAAAAACAAAAGGTGTCAATGGAATTCTTTTTATTCCACTTCTGGGTAGTTACCTGAAGAAAATGAAAATACTAATTTAAAAATATCTATGCACCTATATTTTCACTGCAGAATTATTTATAATAGGCAAGATATGGAAGCAACCTAGATGTTCATCAATAGATAAATACAATAGATAAAGATGATATGTGTGTGTGTGCATGTGTGTGTAATGGAATATTATTCAGCAATAAAAACCATGAAATCTTGCCATGTGTGACATGGATGGACCTAGAGGATATCATGCTAAGTGAAATACGTCAGACAGTGAAAGACAAATATTTTATGATTTCACTTACATGTGGAATCTAAATAAACCAAAACAAATAAACAAAATGAAACAGAAATAGATACATATTTCTGTGTCTATTTACAGAGAACTGAGGTTGCCAGAGGGGAGAGGGTGGGGGATGGGTGAAAAAGGTAAAGGTAAATAAGAGGAACAAACGTCTAGTTATAAAATAAACAAGCCAAGGGGGGAGGGGTAATGCACAGCACAGAGAATGAATGTCAATAGTATCATAATCACTTTGCATACTGACAGATGGTTACTACACATCATAAGGTATGTAAATGTTGAATCACTATGCTGTATACCTGAAACTAATATAATATTGTATGACAACAATATTTTAACTTTTTTTTTTAAAGGAAGGGAGAGAGAAAGAGAAAGAAGAGAGAGAGAAAGAAGGAGGGAGGAAGAGAGGAAAAAAAAGAAAGGGAGGCAAGGGACTTTCATATTCCAGTCTGGCATGTAAGGAGCTTGGAGGTTGTCACTACCACCTTTACAATAAGAAAAAAGCTGAACAAACTGAAAAACAACTCTTTTTAGATCCATCAGAGAATTGAGGTCACAGGACAAAACACTGTCCAAACAATTGGAGAAACAGACAGGAAGATAGAGATTGATAGCTCACTGGAGCAGACGCCCAGGGAAGAAACTAGGGCAGGAAAAAATTGAAGCTCAATGTGGACAAGTTTAATAAAAAGAGTCAATAAAACGTCAGGGGAGCCCACTCTTAGAGGGACCCATTCTTAGGAGGACCCGTACACTTTTGTGAGTTTTACCTCCAGGAGTCCTACCAGCTTCTCACAGTGAATAAAAAAACCCTTGTGATTCTGGGGAGAGGAAGGAGAAAAGTAGCCATTTTGAGGTATGCCCAGAATATTCTGTTCTTCACAAACCTTGTCCTCAAGGGAAGCTTTTACCAGAGCCTAATTTATTCAGGTTTTACCAGAAGCTAACTAACTTGGAGAAGGGGAAATGCCCTACTCTAGCCCCCTCTGCCTTTCTGTTTCACATAAGGGGGGAAAACCCAAACAGAAAAGCACTTGTGAAGGTCACAGATCAGGGGCCCAGGGTCACTGAAAAACTAAGACCTAATCACAGAACTCTGCAACACCTCCCCTTACCACATCAACAGGGCTCCGGATAATAACAGGGGACAGCAACTGAAAACACTGCCCTTCTCAGACCTTATTTAAGACATCTCTAGGAAACCTCAAAAACAGAGACAAAAACAAGGACACCAGAGGAAAACTGAATTCTGACACCTGTAGCTACAGCAAACAGTAAACACGGCCTAACTCCTGGCTAGATAAATGTCAAACCTCACACTAAAGGCCTACTTTCTTCGGTTCCTTTTGCTCCATGCATCATGTCTAACGTTCAAAGAATTCCAACACAGGGCAGGCTGAGTGCTGCATTGGTTAAGAGCTGGCTTGGGATGCCAGCTCTGAGCAGCAGGGCCCCAGTTCAGATCCCACATTAGGGCCAGTGACGCTGCGCCCTCTACAGCTAAGATGGTGAACAACAGCTCCACCTGGAGCTGGGCTGCCGTGAGTCGCTGGAGATGGCGTAGGCTGCAGTGGGCCTGCAGTGGGCTGCCGTGAGCTACCATGAGTGGCCAGCAGCCAGCATGAGCAGCCGGTGCAGCTGCCATGAGCCACTGTGAGCAGCCATTGAATGGCCGGCGAGTGACTGCCTCACTGGGGAAGAGCACAATGATAATACCAACATGGGCCAGTGAAGCGACGTCCTCCACAACTAGACTGAAGAACCAAAGGACAGCAACTTGTCTGTTCCCCTTCCCTGATTCTCCGCTGTTCCCCTCCCCCAATTCCCCAATAAAATCTTCACACACAAAAATAATCTATACAAAGAAGAGTGTTACAGAAG